TCCCGAAGGGCCATTCAACCTTACAAAAAGCTCTCAGCTTTTCCAGTTTCATTTTGACCCCTTAGACACCTGAGAAGGCTGTGTTGAAATTCCCTGTCATATAATCCAGCACCATCGGCTTGGATGACTTGGATTGTCATTTTCACATGGCAGTGCTGGGGGGTATAGCCCAAATGTCATTGATCTCTCCAGATATCAAAGACCTGTGCTTCCTAGAGGGCTCAGGAGATCACAGGCTGGAGGAAGTAAGTGACAATGAGATTTTGGAGAGACAAGGGCTTCTGGGATTGGGGTTTGGCCCAGAGGCTCAAGAGTTGAGCAGTCTTTTGGGACTGCCACCGGAATGGCCAAGTAACATATACAGTTAGGGTGTTAAAGTCTTTGGGAGGGCCTTGGCTGAGGGCTGTGATCAGATAGATTGTGGCAGTCTCTCTCTGGGGTCTAGCCTCTTGGTACTTCAACAGTGGATACCTTGGCACCAGATTTTGGTATCTCTGAGGTAGGTGGCAAATAGCTTGGAGGAGCACGAAAGTATGGAAATCCATCGAGGTGATTCAAGGGGGAAGACTATCTAGGTAGTAGGTGATGAATGCCTGCCCTCTCCTTTCCCAGGCACAGAGAACAAATGTTGCTTTGCAGTAGAAGTCTTTGCAGAAAGGTTAAGGCAAGCTCTGGGAGGATGTTCGGTGCCACAGTCATAAGGAACTCCTGTCCCAGCTTTTGGGGACAGAACTGGTGACCTGACATTCACTACTCTGCCTCTACAGGGAAAGCCCTCCCATTGGCCTCTGTGTCCCAGGAATGGTGTCTTAACAGACGAAGGGTAGGTGCCCCCCAGAGGGGACCAATCAGTCATCCGTCTGGCCGTGCCTCACAGGCTTTGTGTCATTTCTTGGTAATAAGCAATCGGATATAGAACTTCCACTGGATTGAACACATAGAGAGGGACTGGGCCTTCCAGTGCCAATTTTGCCATTTAGCCTTTAAGGAATTACCACGGAAACACAGTAACAGATCCATTCATGCTCTGTAGTGAGAAGCCGTGGAGCCACAAACACATTCACTCATCACAAACACTCACATTCATTCAGAGATTATACATTCCCTCCCCACACCAGCCAATTACCAGATGAGCCCTGTCAGTTCAGTGACCGAAGGAGAGTGATCATGTCTCATCCACTACTCTATTTGAGTAGGTCTAAATAGGGCTCTACAGATCCCTGGGGGCTTACCAGATTACCAGAGTCAACCAACGTTGATTCATCAGGGTCCAGAAGTTACTCCTTCTCTCCAATCAGACTCCAGTAATCCAGGAATGCTCAGCCTCAGAGTGAGCATCCCAGCTGAGGGATCACATCAAACGAGATGAAGGTGTGCCTATCTCTCCACACCATAGCGCCTGTCCCTGAGGGAAACACCCTGAGATCTGTGAGTCAAAGGGCCATTCTGATTTTGTTTCTTGGTCAGTGCACCAAATGTTGCAGAAAATCAGATGCTGAGAAATGAAAAACAGCACTTGGAGAGATAAGGAGAACTGTTTTTAACACTGGTGGATATGGAGGAGTTAACACTATGAATCTCTGGCCCCCAGTTGGGGGGCCTTTTATGGGGGAAGTGGGTAGGGGAAAGGTCTCAGGATATTAGGAATGGGGAAGGGGCTCAGAATCTGCCCTAAAATGGAGGTGGTGGAGAAGCAGGAAGTCTAACCTATTCAAGGTTTCAGGTTACCCAGTGGCTCTGGAGAGGGGCAGTAAGTTCGCTGGGGGTGGGGGCAGAAACTTCAGGCAGCTGTCAGCCTAGAGCTATTCATGAATTCTTGGTCTCTCCATATCAGTAGAGCAATGGAATAGATAGGTAACCCAGAAACAAAACCGCAAATACATAGCCTGCTGATTTTAAATATAGCTGCCAAGAAAATTCCCTGGACAAGGACAGTCTCTTCAAGAAGTGGTGCTGTGGAAATTGTATGTACCTGTTCAGAAGAAAGAAAATGGACCCCTGTCTCTCACCATATAGAAAAATTAACTCAAAATGGACCAAAGATTTAAATGTATGACCTAAAACTATGAAATTATTGAAAGAAAATATAGGGGAAATGCTTTAGAACATTGGTCTAGGAAAGGAGTTTTAAACTAAGTCCTCAAAACTATGAGCAACACAACAAATATAGACAAATAGGATTTCATCAAATTAAAAAGCTCTGCACAGCAAAGGAAATAACCAATATAGATGTTAAAATAAAACCTTCAGACAGTTTAATTTAGTAGTGTTTAATTGAGTGATTTGAATCAGGGAGCTCAGAATGGCTTCCAAGCATATTTATGGTCCAGACAGGGAAAGTGATATATGTAGAAACAGGAAAGTGACATATAAAATGGAAGTGGGAAAATGATGTAGAGAAATAATTGGATTAACTACATTTTGAAGTTTGTCTGCATTAAGACAGTTTAAAAGGCAGTTATCTATGATTGACTGCTGTGATTGGTTGTAATGTAGCAACTTACTAAGGAAGTAGTTTTCCAAGTGAGGTCACAATTTGCTTACGGAAGCTAAAGCAGGAATATGGAGGCTTTCTCAGGTCTATGTGCTTTAACAGAAGGGAACAACAACCTACAGAATGGGAGAAAATGTAAGTCATCCATCAAGAGAATAACATCCAGATTATACAAGGAACTCAAACATCTCATCCACAGAAACACAAATATTCTGATTTCATAATGTACAACCAATCTGATCAGACTGTTCTTGAAAGAAGATATGCTAATAGCCAAAATGTAAATGAAAAAAATGTTCTACATCACTAATCATCAGGGATATTCAAATTAAAACCACAAGGAGTTAGCACCTTACCGCAGATAGAATGGCTATTATTAAGAAACAAAGAACAAAAATTGTTGATGACATTGTAGAGAAAAAGAAGTTCTCATCACTATTGGTAGGAATGTAAATTAGTACAGTCACTATAGAAAACAATATGAAGGTTACTCAAAAGACTAAAATAGAAATACCTTATGATCCAGTAATCCTACTACTGGGTATATACCCAAAGGAAAGGAAATCGATAGGTTGAAGAAATATTTGCATTCCCATATTTATCATAGCCCGATCCACAATAGCTAAGGCATGGGGTCAACTTATGTGTCTAACAACTGATGAATGGAAAAAGAAATTGTGATGTAAATACACAGTAGTATACTGTTCAGCTATAACAAAGGGCAAAACTGTCATTTGCCACACTGTGGATGAACCTGGAGGAAATAATGCTGAGTGAGATACAGTGAACAATGAAAGATAAATACTATATGTTCTCATTCATTAGTGGAAGCTGAAAGATCTGATCACACAAAAGTGGTGAATGAAATGTTGGAGACCAAAAGCTGCATAGGGGAAGAGGGAGGAGAGAATAGGGAGCGCTTTGTTAACCCATACAATAATTCAAGATAATACATGGAGTGAGTTCTAGAGTACTGTTGAGCAACTATGGTTAGTGATAATTCAACATGTATTTTGAAGTAGCTAGAAAAAAGGATATCCACAACACAAAATAATGATAAATGCTTTAGGCAGCTGGATATGTTTATTCCCTGATTCTATTATATATATTGATATATTGAAAAACTACAATATACCCCATGAATATGTACAACTATTATATGTTGATTTAAAAGTATAACAAAGATAAAAGATAATAAAAATCTAAATATCCAAAAAAAGTTTTTTAAAAACCACTGAAGACTGAAATAAAATATAGACCTGGACCCAAAAGAATCTGACCATAGGAGGTAAGCTTGCTTGGAAAAAGAAGGATGATTAGGTAGTGAGTCATACTACAACATTTGTTATATCAGCAGAAAAGTATTACAGTTGTCACTGGGTGTCCAAAGGTGATTGGTTCAAGGACTTGTCTCATATAGCAAAATCCCTGGATGTTTAAGTCCTTTATATAAAATGGTGTAGTAATTGCATATAATCTATGCACTTCCTCCTATATAAATAATCTCTAGATACTTTTAATATATAATATAGTATAAATGGTGTGTAAACAACTATTATGTTGTATTTTTACAATTTGTACTATATTTTTATTTGTAAATTTCTTTCTGAATATTTTTGCTCTGTCGTTGGTTGAATCTGGTGTTCATTTAATACATGGGTAAAAAGGGCTGATTGTATTGGGTTGTCAGAAAAGTCACGATGCATTTTTGCATAGAAAAATACATCATGACTTTTCTGACAACTCAATAATTGGATTTTTTAAAGGGGACCACAAGAAACCTGATTGAGAAAAAGATGAGTTTTTTTTTTTTTAAAGGCAAATTAGGAAAAAAACTTCAACATTTTAAATATTTAGAAATAGTATGAAAGAGCCAAATGAGACTTTGGGGAAGACTTACCATTATTATTATCATTTTAATTTGCTACAGGGCACACATGCTCATCAGAGAGAGAGACACACACAGAAAAAGAGAGAGAGAAAGTGAGAAAGTGCCGCCAGATCTGGGACTCAAATTGCTGTGGGCCGAGTGGGAATCCCACACTTTAACCACCATGCTACCTGCTGGCCCCCTTCCTGCCTCTTATCTTTAGGACACTAGTGTGGGGCAGACACTTACTCTGATGCTTTTCCTCCTAATGTCTGTCACACTCCCCAGTAAGCTAGACTGGGCCATCTTCCTTTCTGTCCTCGTCACTGTTTCATTTGTTGTCAAACATTCTTAATTTTGGATGCTTTAAAACCATAACTAAACAGCCTTCTAATACAAATCTTAAGATTGTACTAAGATACTAAAATAAACTATATGCATACCAAAAAAAAAGATTGTCCTAAGATAGAAATTTACTAAACATATCAATGTATGAGAAAATAATTTCATAAAGTTTTAATATTTAACATTTATCATAGCCAATACTTGGCACATGGAAAAAATTAAACCAATGAAACAATTATCTTAAGTTAGAAAAGTTTACATACTTCTTTTCCTTTCTTCAAAACCATGCAGGTAATATATGCTTTAAACACTAAAAATGATGAGCATGAATCTGCAATTCAAGCACTCAAAGATGCACATGAAGAAGAAATCCAACAGATTCTTGCAGAAACAAGAGAAAAGATATTGCAATATAAAAGCAAAGTAACAGAGGAATTGGATCTTAAGAGAAAGATTCAAGTTTTAGAAGCATCATTAGAAGATCACATAAAAATGAAGCAGCAGGCTTTGACAGAATTTGAAGCCTATAAGCACAGAGTTGAGGACATGCAACTTTGTGCAGAAGCCCAACATGTCCAGCGTGTAGTAACCATGTCTAGAGAGGTCGAAGAGATTAGACGGAAATTTGAAGAAAGGTTACGGAGCTTCGGACAACTCCAAGTACAGTTTGAAAAAGACAAAAGATTGGCATTGGAAGATTTGCGAAATGCTCATAGACGAGAGATCCAAGAATTGTTGAAGTCACAGCAGGATCACAGTGCCTCTGTAAATAAAGGGCAGGAGAAGGCAGAGGAACTACACAGAATGGAGGTAGAGGCCTTAAACAAAACACTCGAGGAGCTAAGGCTTGAGCAGAAAAAACTAATTGAGGAGTATGAAGGCAAGTTGAGTAAAGCTCAGTCCTTTTATGAACGTGAGCTTGATAATTTAAAGAGGTCACAGCTTTTTACAGCAGAAAGCTTACAGGCAAGCAAGGAAAAGGAAGCTGATCTTAGAAGAGAATTTCAGGGACAAGAAGCAATTTTACGAAAAACCATTGGAAAATTAAAGACAGAATTACAGATGGTACAGGACGAAGCTGGGAGCCTTCTTGACAAATGCCAAAAGCTTCAGATGGCACTTGCTACAGCAGAGAACAATGTTCAGGTAAGGAAAGAATAGTCCATGCAACATACGAATTTTCTTTTTCCACTTCTGGCTACCTAAGGATCAACTTTTCATTCTCACCAATTAAACTTTATTTTTTCTTATTTTGCTTTTTCTTGCCTTTCTTTCGTGGAAAAAAAAAATCAAAGAAAGCTCTTTTTTATTCAGAATTTCAGATATTAAGGGCTCAAAAAGATAAGCTTAAAGCCTTGCTAATTATTTATGAAGAGATTTTATTTAACACATTAATATTTTCTTTAAGTGGTTTATGAGAGTTAGAATGTTGGGTTAAGGTTTGATTATTTTATTTTCTTTCATTAGTAATGTTCTGTCCATTAATTGGTGTTTAGATACAATACAAAAAATGAATGCTTGATAAATCTAAGTTTAGCAGAGAGAGGTATGGCACAAGTCTGAAAAAACAGCAAATACTCTACAAATATGATTTAATTGGCATTCAAAATTTCATGTCTATGTTTGTCATGTCTGTGCAGTATTAGAATAGATTATAAAAAGTAGAACAACCTTTTTCTAATTTGGTCGTAAGACTTATGGAAATACCAAATTATAATCGTCACCAGTATTTGCAGATTTAAAACTAGGTATAGTAAAGTATAACTTCTGAGTAAGAAAAAAAGCTGATGCTTACAATAAAATGAGTTGTTTCGCATCATATTATTATTGCATCTTAATAACAGATCTATAATCTTTCTTAGGTTCTTCAAAAGCAGCTTGATGATGCCAAAGAGGGAGAAATGGCCTTACTGAGCAAGCACAAGGAAGTAGAAAGTGAGCTAGCAGCTGCCAGAGAACGCTTACAACAGCAAGCCTCAGATCTCGTCCTCAAAGCTAGTATGTTTGATCACATGGTTTTTGGTATAATGCTCTACTTAAACCAACACTTAAGTGTTTATTCAAGACAAAATTTGTCATGTCATGCCACAATCACTTCTCATCCATCTCTCCCTCCTTTCAGGACTTTGAGCACGCATAAATATGTGCTCCGTGTGTTTCTCAAGCTGCTAGTCCTGGACTTGAACCATGCCATTGGCCATGTGGGATCTGTCTGCCTTAACCACCAGGCCTCAGAGCTGGCCCATTTTAAAGTTATTTAGACTTGAATTATGTTAAATGATTCTAGTGTCTTTACTAATTAATTGTAAGATAAATAATGAAGGATTAGCCGATGAAGTAGTGGTTATGTCGCTGGACTTCCATGTAGTTGACTGAAATTTGAGTCCTAGACCCGGCAGCTTAAAACTGACACTGGGCGCATGTGTGTCCTTGCCCAGAAGCTTGAGAGGAGAAAGGATTGTGGTGTGACCATTCCCCAGGGGGATGATTTCTCGCTTTCTGTCTCTTGTCTGTCTGTCCAGTGAGCACATGTGCCCTATAGCAAAAATCTCTCTCTTAAAAAAAAATCCTAAAAAGATAAATGATGATACTTTATTTTTAGGAATATAGTTTTATAGAAAAAATAAGAGTTAAGCAAAGTTATTAATAAATCATTCACTAAAAGAAAAATGCAGCACTGCTTCTAAAAGGCTTTATCCTTTAAAAACATACATTTAAAGTATTTAAATTAGTTGAACTATATGTGAATTGCAGCATGTTATTTCATTGGGCTTGTTATTAACAATCTGTTTACATACTAGAGCTGAATTGTTCATTCTAGAGAGGCTGATAAGAGCATTTCTTTCTTCTTATTTTAAGAGAGACTTGTCTGCTATAGGTGGTACTCTCACCAAAGAGACAGAGAAACAGAAAGCAAGAAATCATCCTCCAGGGAGGATGGCCATAACATAATCCCTTCTCCTCCATTCTCCTCTTGGGGTTTTGGGCACATACACACACATGCTTAGTTTGATTTTTAAGCCACTAGGTCCGGGGACTTGAACTGTGGTCTATTACATGGAAGTCCAGTAATGTAACTATTACACCACCTGCTGGTCCCTGATATGCACATTTCCTTGCCCTTACTAGAGGAGATGGGCAAACCTATGTCAGTTCTGAAGTTTTATTTTGTTTGTTTAGTGTGCCCAGTGAAGCTATTTGAGTGAGTTCTTTGAGGACCTTGTCTTTGGCTCACCAGTAGAATCCCAGATATCCCTTCTCCCTTTTACTAAAGCAATACAGTTTTTATCTACCTTTGGTAGGCATCGGAATCACCCAGAAGGTTTGAGGTTTGCGCAACCACAGATGTTGGGCCCCACACTCAGAGTTTCTTTTTTTTTTTTTTTCTTTTTTATGGGGGCGGGGGAGAGGTTTTAGCTATAGGGCACATGTGCTCAACAGAAAGACTCAGAGAGATAGAGAGACAGAAAGTGAGAAATCACCCCCCAAGGGGGATGGCCACGCCACAATCTCTTCTCCTCCTTTCTCCTTTTGGGATCTTGGGGATGAACGCACATGCACCCTGCGTGAGTTTAAGTCACTAGGTCAGGGACTCGAACCACGGTCGACTACATGGGAGTCCAGCGACATAACCATTATGCTAACTGCTGGTCCCCACTCAGAGTTTCTGACTGAGCAAGTCTGGAGGGAGCTGCATGTCTAACTAAAGTTCCCAGGTGATACCAGTACTGCTGGTCAGAGCATTTTAGAACCATGCCTTAAACCCTACTTTGTATGAGATCCTTTTCTCTCAGTTTTTATCTCTCTCTTTTTCTCATTTTCCTCTGCCTACATCCCCTATTTTTGTTATTTGTTTTTGTTTTAACTGTTTTTTTCTATAAACTTGCTGTCCTTAGCTGTCCCTTACTCTACCTTAGTTCCTTATCTACTTGCTTCTTGTTATAATGAATTGTTTCAGCCAAATTGCTGTTTGCCATCTTCATTCTTTGTATACTTATTTCTTCCTCTTTATGTTAGAGTTTGAAAAAAAGAAGAGAATAGAAAGAGTAGGTTATCATTTTGTCTCCATCGTATTAGTCAGTATATCCTCCTTTGCCTTGTTTTACTCCCAGAAGACTTCCTTGCAGCCCCTGAGGAGTTGCTTCTACTTCTACTTGTGTAAGTTGCAATCTTTAAAAAATAAAAGTGAGGGACCAGCAGTTAGCATAATGGCTATGTCGCTGAACTCCCATGTAGTTGACTGCGGTTTGAGTCCCAGACCTGGTGGCTTAAACTCATGCCGGGTGTATGTGCTTGCGAGTCCAAGATCCCAAGAGGAGAATGGAAGAGAAGGGATTGCAGTGTGGCCATCCCCCCTGGGGGGTGATTTCTCACTTTCTGTCTCTCTCTCTCTCTCTCTGTCTTTTCTGGCCAGCGCATGCACCCTATAACAAAAACCTCTCCAAAAAGAAATAAATAAATAAAAATTAAATAAAAGTGAAATGATTCTAAATATAGGGAGTAACATCAGTGATTTGAAAATGGACTCTCTAATTTCAATTATTGAATTTGGGTACGAAGTATTCCCATGGTAAATATTTCCATTTTATATGGTGAGAAAAAACAAAAAAAGTGTGTACATACAGACCACTTATTTCACATATGTATAAAGTAAAACTGTGTTATCGAACGTAAGCTGTTTTATATTATAAATGAAGCAGATTTTTAAATTGAAAGAATTTTCTTTTTGGGTGATAGGTCATATTGGAATGCTTCAAGCCACTCAAATGACACAGGAAGTTACAATTAAAGATCTAGAATTAGAAAAATCAAGGGCTAATGAGAAGTTATCTCAGCTTGAAGAGGAACGAGCTTTTTTGCAAAGCAGAACTCAAAGTCTGGATGAAGAACAGAAGCAACAGATTCTGGAACTGGAGAAGGTAAAAAGTAATAGAATGCACTGGAAAGAAGTTCAGTTTTCTTCTTTTTGGATTTGAGATATTAAGGGTGTTACTACACAGCATCAATACATTTATAACTCAAATATTGGTTTTTTGTTTTTACTTTTCTGAAGAAAGGTATAAAACTAGACTGTCCCATATCATGTGTACATTCAAAATAATTGGATAACAATCTATAATGTAAAAGTTTCGGGCATTTCAACCTCTTTCAAGCCAGAAACTAAATAAATTTTTATTTCAACAGTGCATACATTTATAGTTTATCATATTTGTCTTCCTTTTAATGACATATTATTTTACACATACCTCGGGAATTTATGTAAAACTGGAAAGGATGATGAACATCTGGTGCTGAAAATTCATATTGGATTTCTCAATTAAACAAATAAAACACATTTTGGAGAGTAATTATGAAATACTTATTCCAGTATTTCAGAAACCCACAGTTTTATGGTGTGAGTTTCAGACATTCATTCTCTCTCTCTCTCTCTCTCAACAACTTACTACATTGAGAAAATCTATTTTCCTTCCTTCTTTTCCACTTACATTTCACTGTTACCCTGGTGCAGTCTTCTCTTAACCACCATTCCACAGAGTCCTTTAGCTCAGCCCCAACGACTTCCTAGTTTCTAGACTTGGTTGATCTTATATTACAGTGGTACTTGCTACTCACTGATTTATAGTGTCTCTCTTCTTTTGGTATTTCACATTCTCTCCTCTTCCTTTTTCCCTCCTCCCACCCCCACCTCCACACACACATTTTCCCACCCCGTTGTTAAATTAAACTATTTTGACTTTAAACAGCCACTGAACTCCCTCACTTTGATTCCTATGAAAAAGCCAAAATCGTGCATATTAGACTGTTCTTCTGAACTGGTTACTAAGTTACAGCCAATCATAGCAGCTAGGCTTCAGTTAGTCACAGACATTCCGCCTTTTAAATCATGTTAATGCAGACAAACTTCAGAATGTAACCAATGATTTCTCTACCTCAGTCCCTCCCTTATATTTTGTGTAGGACACTTTCCTTTTACTGCACACCTCACTTTCCTTTTCTATCAACGTAAAAGGCCGAGTTGACCATGAGGCTGGCCAGAGTTGTCCGGAAGACAACTGCCCAATTTATAAATTGTGTTAAGATTTGCTCTGTTAAAACTTTATTCTGTTAAATTTGCTAGTTTATTTTCCTTTTAACAGTTTTGGTGTCAGAAGTAGGATCTAAAGTGGAACTTCCAGTCTCCTAAAGCTTTAAATAAATAAAAGCCACTCTCCAAAAAATAAATAATTAACATACAAGTTTAACAAAACAATAAAATATCATCCAACTTTAAATATCCTTTTATTCAAATTAAAAGCTTGTGTTTAATACTAAACAAAACTAAACATTATACCTACTTCTTTCCTGATTTTAATACCAAAATGTTTCATTAAAAAAATAACTAATAGTACTATTTCCTTAAACTCAACCACCAAATATATTAAAGTCTCTCAAAAAACAAATAATATGTTTACAAATACAACTAATAGTCAATTTACAAGCATCCTAAATAATGAATGACAGACTTGTGTTTTTCAGAATTTTTTAAATCTGTATATTTCTCTCAGTACGCCCCTAAGTTATTATAGTACTAGACTAACAACGAAAAATAAATACCTTTTTTTTAAGCCATTTTACAGAAAACCATGGCCCTCAATTATCATTACACTCCAGACAACTAGACTCAAATACTGTTAAATTTAACTATGTGACCTAAACCTTAACCTGTATAAATTCATTGCAGTTTGTTTCATAAAAACTTTTATTAAAAAATACACCTTAGTCATCACATTAGTCCTCCTAGTATGTTCTGTCCTCTCAAGTCTTAAATGCTTCACACACAGCCATCCATCAAACACTAAATAGTCTTGGGAACCAGCAGTAGCGTAATGGCTACGTCGCTGGGCTCCCACGTAATCGACCACGGTTCGCATCCTGGACCCGGTGGCTTAAAACTCACGCCAGGCGTGTGTGCGTGCATGTACAAGATCCTGAGAGGAGAATGGAGGAGAAGGGATTGTGGCGTGACCATCCCTCCTGGGGGGTGATTTCTTGCTTTCTGTCTCTATGTCTCACTCTGTCTGGCAAGTGCACGCGCCCTATAGTGAAAATCTCTCAAACAAACAAACAAACAAAAAAACACTAAATAGTCTTGTTTCAGACAAATCCATAAAAACTAAGAAAAAGACCCATTTGAACTATATAACATCATATTTGGCTTATATAATACTGTAATGTGTAAATTCTATACTAGAGACTAAAAAAACTTCTAATTTCTATACTAAAAACAAAACTGTTATTTATAAAAGTAACCAAAAAACCCCACAATGCCCTAAGTTTTAGTCAATCTTTCAAATATTTAAAAAGCAAAAAAAATTGTTAAACTATTTTAGCTTAAAATAGCCACTCTACTGCACACTTTAATTCCTGTAAATAAGCCAAAATCATACATGTTAAGCTGTTTTTCTGAGCTAGTTACTAAGTTACAGCTAATTACAACTAGATTTGAGTCAGTCACAAACATCCCACCCTAAACTAGGTTAATACAAACAAATTTCAAAATATGACCAATAATTTCTCTACCTCGCTCCCTCACTTACATTTTGTATACAACACTTTCCTTTTACTGCACATCTTACTTTCCTATTTTTCTGACTTAGAAGGCCGAGTAAACCACAAGACTGGCTAAAGTTGTCCAAAAGTCCAAAACCAATTGCCCAATTCAAATCGTGTTCAGATTTACTCTATTAAACTCTGTTCTATTAAATTGACTAGTTTATTTTTCTTTTAACACCATCCAGGTTGGGCTCCTTTCCTATACACTCTTACAACATGTGATAGATACCCCTTCCATAGAACTTATAAAAACATGTTACCACTATCTCTTGACTTTCCCCCCACCATTAGGCTGTGAACGCTTTAAAGGTACATATTTGGCACTCAAGATTGTATTGAGTCCTATCATTTGAGTTGGTTCATTGGTAAGCTATTTTGTGTACTACTTTCACATGCCTTTTCCTATTTAGCTTGCAGATGTGCTCATATTTGGTTCTAACATACGTGACTTTTACTTTTTGCCTTAATATGTTCATCTTGATCTGTACTCTGTGGTGAAAACTGGAAGAGTTAAAAGCATAGACAGAGTAGTGGTAGATACCAGAAGCTGTTTGGGGTGAGTGATGGGGTGGAGAAAAATTTTAATGGACACAAGAATGCATATAAATAAGGGGAAGAGGCTAGTGGATGATGATCCATAGTGGAGTAAAAGTATGGACTCTTAAAACATATTGGGAAAAAAAAAACACCTGATGCATATTCAATAATGCATTGTCAAATATGCATCACATAATGTAATATTTAATGTTGAAGAAGATGACTACATGTCTATCCGGGATGACATTATTTTACATTGAATATATGCTTTTGAAAACCTTATTGTACTCCACAAAAATGTGCACCAAGCACATGGAAACCAGAAACCATAATTTAAAAACAAAGCAACAAAAATTTCATTTTGCCAGTGCCAGCCTGTCGCTTTCACAGAAAACCAGTGATCTGTTCTCATGTTAACAGTGTAGATCCCATCGTACTCAGTTCTTTGAAGTTGACATATTTATAGAATATTTAGAAAATAACAACAGTAATAAAAAAAAAAGCAGGTGCCAACTATTGATCGTTATTTGTTTTAATCTTAGAAGGTAAATGAAGCAAAAAGAACTCAGCAAGAATATTATGAAATGGAGCTGAAAAACCTGCAAAATAGATTGGAAGGGGAGGTGACTCAATTAAATGAGGCCCATTCTAAGACTTTGGAGGAACTAGCTTGGAAGCACCATATGGCAATTGAAGCTGTCCATAGTAATGCAATTAGAGATAAGAAAAAACTGCAGGTGGTGAGTAGAAACTGAGTTTATCATTGCATTGTAAATTGCTAGGGATTCTGTAATGGTCTAATGTGACCTATCTTGTGAAGTAATAATTTTCTTCATTATGGTGACTGCTGTCTTATAATCATTCTTCAAACTGGGGTTCAAAGAATAATATACATGAAAGTTCTTGATAAGGACAGTATATTAAATCAATGTGAGGCATTTCTACTTTGTATAAGCCGTAACAGAACTATTCTTTGATCTTAAGCTGTCTCTTCATAAGATGTATTCTTTAGGGAACCTCAACTGGTTGGGTCACTTATTCTCTTGTAGATAGTTTTCTTCTGAAGCTGGAAAAATTATTTTTGTCCCCACCCCCTTACTCAATTATGTAATCGCCTTGCTAATATCAATAGTAATACGTGACAGACAGTATTGTGTAGTAGAACAATCAAAGAATCTGACAGTGCTGGGCCTTATTTTGAGCTCTTTACTTACTAACAATATTTCTTGGGGTCCCAAAAGCTATACCTCAGTTTCTTCATCTGATAGAAGATATCCATCTTGTAATGCTCCTGTGAGGTAGTGCTGAGTACCCAGACATGTCCTGAAATGTGGTGATAAATCAACCTTAATTATTAGTATTTCTAAATATGTGCGAGATACTGCAATCATATTTTTCATTTAATCTTTATGACATAACTATTGGTTTAATTGCTATAACCAGTTTACTAAAGAGAAGATGTGCTCAGTCATGAGCAACTACAATAGTAAGGACCAGTCATAAGTTGAACTCAGGTCTCGGATCCATCACACCCTAAGACATTCAACATTACATCATTCAGGCATTTATTGATGATGGTTGTTCTATGTTTTACATAACATATATAAAGAGCTTTCTCATAGATTCCTTAATACTTATGACTTGGAAGTTAGTATAATTTTTATCCTATAGGCTTAATAAACCTACGTAATTTGCTCAGAGCCACAAACTAGTAAGTGGAAGAGAGAGGATGTGAATTGAGGTCATCTGCCTTAATATCCCTTTCTTTTGTTGACATAACTACTTGGAAAAAATGTTTAAGCCCTATGGTTAATTAAAAATTCAAATAAAACTTCCTATTAAAATGCTATTTCTTTCCAAAGTTACTATTACATAATTATGTAACCAAATTCAGAAATTAATTAAATGGTATTCTCAAGCTTGTGACTGTCATTTTTTCCATGCCATCTCACTATTCTAAAACTTATTCCAGCTTTACTTTTGTGGTGATGAGCATGCTTACTGACTCTGGATGAAGTATTAAGAGGTTGGGTTTGATTTATTTATTTTTTAGAAAGAGAGATTGTTTTGCTATAGGGCACGTGTGCTTGCCAGAGACAGAGAGAGAGAGATGGAAAGCAAGCAATCACCCCCTGGGGTTATGACCAAGCTGTATTCCCTTCTCCTAGTCTGCTTTTGGGATCTTGGGCATGCAAGCACACGTGTCCAACGTGAGTCTCAAGCTACTGGGTCCAGGACTTTAATCTCTCTTAACCACATGGGAGACCAGTGACATAACCATTATGTCATCTGCTGGTCCCGTGTTTGGGTTTTATAGTAAAGTACTTAGTGGTAACTGATGCTTCTATGATTTCTTTTCTAGTTGTAATTTTTTATTTTTTATTTTTTCATTTCTGTATCACTTTTTCAGCTTAGCCTTTTTTCTTATTGAAATTTTAAAATCACATGTTTTGCCTTGAGCCCCTCTTCACTCCTCTATATTAAGTACTAAGTGCTAGAATCCAGGCATCTCTAGAATCCAGGCATCTCTCATCTCTATTGTTTTTCCCTCACTACTTCACTCCTAATAATCTTCTCATCTAATTAAATTTTTAATTTTTGAGCCACCTAAAATCCTGCCATAAGCCACGTAAGTTTCTTAAACTCTTCCTTTAAATATAGTTGCTAAAAGACAGATGACGTGAAATCTCCTGTGTGTGAACACATTTAAAACCTCTATGACTGCCATATTTGTACTTATCTCTCTTAATCAAAGTACTGTGTGTCACCCCCTGCTTCATTCCTCTCTGGCCTATCTAGATTATGTCTGAGCCTAAGCTAAAACCAGGCCTTTTCTAGAGTAGTTTTTCTCCAACATCAAATTACTTTTAAAGAACATTTAAAGGTGACTTTTCTGTTCCTCGTTATTTTGTTATCAGCAAGAATTATGTATTTTTCATTGAAACTCTATGTCACCTAACCTACCTGAAGGTGCATATACAGAGAACCCGTGCAGAGTTAACATAGCAGCTTGAGACTGCTACCCTCAGAAAGCCAAGTAAGTTGGCCCTTGGCTGGAATCTGTGAACTTGGACTGTAGGAGAGTTCCCACTATCTCCTGATAAGAATGGCTCACTGTGCCCAAACTGTTCATAAACAATATGGTTTATGTTGAATACCTGTTTTTCTTCTAGGAGTCTGGATTTTGGGTGCATGTCAGGAAGAAGGTGCTTATATAATCTGCTCTCAATAAAAACCTGAGTATCGAGTCCTCCTTGGGCTCTTTTGGTAGCTATTTTACATGAGCTGTCACAACCCGTGGGAGAATTAAGCCCTTCCTATAGCAGAGGGCTCTTAGAAAGTGAGGCCTGGCTTCCTATAGGCTTCGTTTCACATAATTTTCACTTTTCTGATTGTTCATTATATTCTTTCCCTGTGGTGTGATAGCCATAAATAGGACTGTACACCAAGTCCTAGGAGTCCTCCTAGCATATCAATCAAATGAGTTTGTCTTGGAGACCCCTGACTGCTCTTTTCACCTCATGCTGTAGCCACACTGAACTGCTTGTAATACCCTATGCTCTTTTGTACCTCATGGCATTTATCTTATTGTTTTTCCTTTGCTACAGTGCTATGTTCCCGTATTCCACCACCTTTTCTTATGGGTACACAGCTTCAGACTGTACTTAGGGATCGCTTTCCCACTAAAGGTCTCCTTACCAAGCTAGACCATATCAGTTCCGCATTCATATATTCTATACTCTCTACGTATATCTAATTTTAATGAATATTATTTAATTAATTGCTATCATGAGCCTATTAATGGTAGGCACCATATCTTACCACCTCTTTATCCCAACTACTAGGTAGTATGCCTGGCAAAGAGTAAGCAGTCTTCAGGGTAAATTTTACTGGTTTTTGTCTTCAGTTGCCTTAATTTTGCATTTGCTGATTCTCTAGTATGTCTCAATATTAGACCATTGAGTTGGAGAAGCGTCACTGAATTCTGTTTTTTATGTAAACATAAATGAGTTATGAATTCAAAGGATAATTAGAATTTTTCTTTAACTCACCAAATTATCATTTATGCCACATTTTTCTATTTTTTGACTACAGCTTGATCTAGACCATCAAATAGTCTCACTATTTTAAAAATTGGGTCTTCCTAAAATTCATGGGAAATGTGTACTATGAAAAAACCATGTAAGAATTTCCAATTTTTGTTGCACCAAAATAAACTTGTTCTTTAATTCCATTTTTCTGTCAGCTTTTTGAAGTACCCTTATATTTAATGGCTACATCACAAGTGACTCAGAATAATAGAAGAATCTAAGCTACTAAGATTAATTAGAGTCAGTGTTAATTCTGATAATAAGAATGAGGCCAATTTGAAGATCAAAGTTTCAGAATATAAAATAGGTAGTATTTTTCTTGGCATCTTCAAGGTATGCAGTATTTGCAGCTTTGTTAATTTAATTTTCTTTTCCCTAAGGAATTAGAGGAACAATACAAAAAGGAGAAACTATGTCTGGAAGAGGATAAAAATCAGCTTCAATTGGAGCTAGAAACCCAAAAGGAAGTGCTGGAAGACAAGCTGAATACAGCCAATCAAGAGGCAAGCGTCCTTTAGGCCTATCACCTATGTGTGGTAATAGTGATAACTCATGCTGGTGACAGTACATAGGAGGTAGATCCTCCATGAGAGTAGCACATCTACAGTAAAAAAATAATAGAAACTTCCATTGATGCTGAATTTTCCTAACACTTTGGTTATATTGTACCAGGTTAAAAAATTGCTATTAAAAACATTAAAGTAGGGACCAGGCAGTGGGTCATAGTGGTAAAACATATTCTGCAAGACTGACCCCATGTGGGAAAGTTCTCAGGGTTCATGTTCTGAGATCTCCCTGAGTATGCTGAGCATGTGTGTGCCTGTGATCCAGGGCTGGCGGAAGGTGGGGTTGGATCATGGTGTAGAGGCCCCATTAGGGATGCTGTCTGTCTCTCTCTTACTCATAGAAAAAAATTAATAAACCTTAAACATAGCAAAACAACGCAAAAAGAAAGAAAAGGGGAAAGTTTTTAAGTCAAAGCGCTTTTGTGGGAAAAAGCAAAACAAAGAGAATATCACCATATAGGAGGGAAACAAAAGAGGTTTATCTGCCCCTTTGCAAAACATTAGCTTAGTATTCTCTGCACTTGTCTCTTTTTTTTTTTTTTTGAGAGAGAGAGATTTTTGCTATAGGGCATGTGAGCTCACTGGAGAGACAGAGAGACAGAAAGCAAGAAATCATCCCCCAGAGTGAATGGCCACACCACAATCCCTTTTCCTCCATTTTCCTCTTTGGATTTTGGGTATGCATGCACATGCATCTGGTGTGAAGTTTACGCCACTGGGCCTGGAACTTGAACCACGGTCGACTCCATGGGAGTCCCACAACATAACCATTATGCCATATGCTGGTCCCTCTCATGTTTTCTAAAAGGAGAGATTTTATAGCGTCACCTAAATTAATTTTATATTTTATATGAAAACAGTACTATTTATCCTGGAAAAGAAAAAGGTTAAGAATAGAATATAATGAAAATGTTGCCAATGAAAAAAGTTGTGATTGAAATAAATGTAGAAACAGTTAAACAATCATACTGTTTGTTCCTTCTGTTTCCTTTGCCCTGGTTCAGACCATGGTCTAAAATAGCCTCCCTGCTGTTGTCTTCCCTTCCTTTCCAGTTCAGCCATGTTCCTCAAACACAGATCTTGTCTTCACATTTCTCACCCCATCAGCTGTTCCCACTTCACTTATGTCATCATCGTGAACCCTGCTTCATTATCACTCTGCTTCTGCTCAGAAAACCACAGCAAAACATTAGTGCCTGCCCTTGGGCAGGCTAGTAATTTGCACTCAGTGTTCTTTATTATTTTTAAACATTTATCCAGAGAAAGTAAGTGCCAAGTATTACATTTGGGCATGGCAGAGTGGTATGCTTATTAGTGGTATTAATCCAGTCTTTTTTATTTGTGAAGATAATCCCCCTGTGGCTTCACATTGTCTCAGAGGACATGATCCTTGGAGTTACTGTGCCTCACTCTCATTAGAAGGCAGTTTTCTGACCATCTAGTTTCTCATGCATCACAATGTTCCCCTCTCAATTCCAAATGATTGATTTGAGTATTCCTTCAACCTACATACTGTATCACACTGAGAAGAGTTCTAGTAAATATGTAATTTATTTTCCTTCGGATTACATTGTCAGTTATACTTTAGTGTCCTGGTAATATTTTCGCGCTGCTTTACAATGGCTCCCCAAGAACCTGCCTGGCTCATTCCTCCATTTGCTCCTGCCTTTCCTTCAGTCTGGAACTTTTTATTTTTTTAAGAGAAATTTTTTGCTATGAGTATATGGGCTCACCAGAGAGACACAGAGACAGAAAGTGAGAAATTACCTCCCAGGGGGTCGGGCACACTGTATTCCCTTCTTCATTTTCCTCTTGAGATTTTGGCATGCATGCAAACATGTCCGGCGTGGCTTTTAAGTCCCCAGGTCTGGTACTTGAACCAGGAGTCCAGAGACTTGACCAATCTGCTGGTCCCTGGAACTTCTTTTTTGTTATTGTTTAAATTGTAGGTGGCATTTATTTATTTATTTATTTATTTATTTATTTATTTATGAGAGTTTTTGTTTTAGGACGCATACACTCATCCGAGAGAAGGGCAGACAGAAAGTGAGAAATCACCCCCCTGCGGGGGATGACCATGCTGCAATCCCTTCTCCTTTATTCTCCTCTTAGAATTTTGGGCCCACACCCACATGTGCCTGGCATGAGTTTTAAGCTGCCGAGTCCAGGACTTGAGCCACATGCTACTACATGGGAGTCCAGCGACGTAACCATTATCCCATTTGTTGATCCCTGTTAGTATTTTTTTTTTTTTTTTTTGCCAGAGAGCATATGTGCTCACCAGAGGGAGATGGGGATTGGGGAAGTGGGGAGAGCAAGGGAAAAAGCACCGTCCCCATGAGGTGTGGTCATGCCACAATCCCTTCTCCTCCACTTCTCCATCCTGTTAGGGATTTTGGGCACATGGGTAACATGGGGCTGGCATTCGAACTGCCATGGGCCTTGTCTAATCTGGCTCCCTTAACCATTCGGCTATGGGGTCAGCCCTGGAATGTCATTTTTTGTTGTCCTACTTCATTGACTAGTATCCCCAGAGATAGTAAGCATTCTTATTTTGTTTCTTGCTCTTAAAGGAGACAAAACCAACATTTAATAGTTTTGTTTTGTGAGTTCTTTTTTACCAGGTATAGAATACTCTTCTAATTTTAATTTCTTAACTAAAAATAAAAATTGTTAATGGATGTTGATTTCTGCATTTATTAAGATCATACTTTTTTCCCTTTAATTTGCCAGTGTGGTACATTAGAGAAAAATTGCCAGAGGGTGCATTTATTTACCAGGGAAAGAAAGAAGGGAGAAAGCACCCTCCAATGAGGCGTAGTAACACTGCAATTACTTCTCCATTTCTCCATCCTTTCAAGATTTTATGCATACTCACACGTGTGTACAGCATGTTTATCAAGCTTCTGGGGCTGGAGTTCAAACTGCAGTCAGCCACGAGGGTTCTGACTTCCTTAACCACTAGGCTATGCAGGTGGCCCAATGTGATACATTGATCAGTTTTCTTTTTTTTTTTTAAATTTTTTGTTTTTGAGAGGTTTTTGCTATAGGGCACGTGCGCTTACCAGAAAGAGAGACAGACAGAGAGATAGAAAGTGAGAAATCACCCCCCAGGGGGGATAGCCACACCTAATCCCTTCTCTTCCATTCTCCTCTCGGGGTCTTGGGCATGCACGCAAACGCGCCCCATGTGAGTTTAAGCTACCGGGTCCAGGACTTGAACCGCTGTCGACTACCTGGGAGTTCAGCGACATAGCCATTATGCTAACTGCTGGTTCGGATACATTGATCAGTTTTCTAATATTAATCTTGAATTTCTAGAGTAAGTCCTAATTAATAATGATATGTTATCCTTTTTATGTAATGCTAGATTCATTTTGTTAATATTTTAGGATTTTAGCTTAGATTTGAATATTTCTTTGTATTTTTGCTTTTTTTATACCATCTTTTTCTAGCTTTCAAATCAAGGTTATACTAGTCTTTCTTTCTTTCTTTCTTTCTTTCTTTCTTTCTTTCTTTCTTTCTTTCTTTCTTTCTCTCTTTCTTCTTTCTTTCTCTCTCCTTCCTTTCTTCTTTTTTTCCTCCCTCCCTCCCTATCTTTCTTTCTTTCCTTTTCTTTCTCTCCTTCTTTTCAAGAGGGACAGAGTGAGAGAGAAAGAGAGAGGGAAAGTGAGAAAGCAAGCCACCAGGTCTGGGGCTCAAACCATGTTTGGCCATGTGGGAGTACAGTGCCCTTAACTACCATGCCACCTGTCAGCCCCGTGACTGGTGTAATTTTTTCCATCCACTGTCTTTTAGCTTATCATCATCCTTATGTTTATGTGTACCTTTTGCATATCACATATAGCTACATTAAAAAAAAACTAGTTTGAGATGTTTTGCTTTTAAATGGAGAGTTTATTCCATTTTCATTTATTGAATGGCGAATAGATATATCTCTGGAAAGACTGAAGGAGAGAATTTGGGATACTTCATAAATACTGAAAGTAATTGTTTTAGAAAATAATTTAAAATGTACAATGATCTTCATAAATTTATAGAATTTGATACTCTTACAAGTGATGTGGTAAAAACATATCAATAGTATAAATTTCGATATAAATTCATAAACACCAGAATCATGGTATTAAGGGTAGTTAGCAATCCCAAAATGTCAGGTGGTGTATAACTGTGCTTTTCTATGAGATTTTATTTGGGATCATCTTTAGAAACAAAAATACTAGGCTGAATGGCCAATAAATCTGATCATTATGATCTATTAAAATGTTTTTATAAGTTGTAAGTATATGTATAGTGTCCTATTGGGTCATCAGGAAAGTTATGACACATTTTTGCCTCTTTAAAAAATAAGATTATTGACAAAATTTTAGCGGTGTTTATAGTGAAAGAAATTTAGAAAAAAACTTGAAATTTCCACAGAACTCTGTTCATTTAGAAGTGAGGGAGTGTCTCACTAATGCACACAGAAGGATCATTCACTTTTCTTTCAATGCTCTGTGGCTGTTTTCACACCCAGGGGATTATCTTGTTATGTTTTGAATTGCCATATGGCCTGGCAGTGGCCTTCGTACAATACAGGATCAAAAAAGTAAAGGCATTGAGGGACCTTTTAGTTTATTCCTACCTTTTGAGATGTTAAAGGAATTTTATTTCTTCTTAGTTATGTATATATGAACTGTTTCTGTAATTGACTCAATCACTTATTCTGTAATTATTGAATGGCTGTTAGGTACCCAAGCATTGTGTTAGGCACTGTGGTGAACAAGTCAGACATGGTTTCTGCTGTAATGGAGAGACAAACATGGAAACAAGTAGTTACAAGTCTGATGCATATTGCCAAAGGGCAGTAAATGATTAACATGGGCTTTCCAGAATAATAACTGAGAAAAGTTTATATGAAGGCCCAGGGTCAAGGGAAATTTCTAGGAATTGTAAAAATGCTAGGGTAGATGGAGTATGATAGCAATTGTAGTAATTAATTGGTCTTAACTATGTCCCAAGTATTGTTTTATGTGGTCTCTCCTTTATACTGTTCTCTCTCTCTCTCTGTCTCTCTCTTTCTCTCTCTCTCTCTCTCTCCTTTTAAATTTTACCACAGGGCACATACATGTGCCGGAGACAAAGAGGGAAAGTGAGGGAGAACACCGTCACACACACACAGGGTGAGATGGCCATGCCACAGTCCCTTCTCCTCCATTCTCCTCTTGAGATTTTGGTCACACATGCACATACACCCAGCATGTTTTTCAAGCTGCCAGCTCCAGAACTCGAAACACCACAGTTGGTCATGTGCAATCTACCTGCCTTCACTTTCATACCATCTCCTAGCCCTATAATGTTCTCTCTTTTAATCTTCACAACAACCCTGTGCAATAAATAGTGGTTACTAAGCCACAGGAAAGTTATGTAACTTGCATAAGTCACAATAAGTTATAAAGTCAGAATTTGAATGCAGGTGGTATGATTTCAAAACTCAGGTCTATTTCCTGTTAATTTTTTTTTTTTTTTTTTTTTGCTATAGGGCACATGCGCTCACCAGAAAGACAGAGATAAATAGAGAGATAAAAAGCAAGAAATCACCCCCCAGGGAGATGGCCACACCGCAATCCCTTCTCCTCCATTCTCCTCTTGGGGTCTTGGGCATGCACACACATGCACCTGGTGTGAGTTTAAGCCACCAGGTCCGGGACTCGAACTGCGGTCGACTACATGGGAGTTCAGCAACGTAGCCATTACACTAACTGCTAGTCCCTCTGTAAAATTTTTTTTTGCCAGAGGCCACATACATTTGTGGGAAAGAGAGGAAGAGAGAGAGAAAGAAAGAGATCAAGACAAAAAGTAGAAAATATACAAATAAGCAATACAAAATCAAGAAGGGGGACATAAATACAGTGACTGATGGAATTTTAAAACATTATTGGTACATATTATATACAAATATGTTGGTAAAGTTTTAATAATAGGAAAAATTGTCTACACAGGAAATTTGAAAAATTTTTACCATTAATCTGAGTAATTGACAACTTGACCTAACCAATAACCATGAAAGAAAATAATGCACATGTATCTAGAGAAGCATTAGGCCCAGGAGATTTATTATTACTATTATTATTTTAGATTTTTGCCATAGGGCTTGTGTGCTCACCAGAGACTGAGAGACAGAAAAAGAGAGAGAAGGAAAATGAGAAATAACACTCCCCTCCACCCCATAGGAAGATGGTCACCCCACAGTCCTCTCTCCTGCATTCTCCTCTCAGGATTTTGGGCACACATTCACACGTGCCCAGCTTGCATATTCCTCAAGCCACTGGGTCTGTCCAGGACTCTCCCTGCAGCAGGTCATGTGGGATCTAGCACTTTAACCAGCACACCACTTGCTGGCCCAGGTCCACAAGATTTATTGGATGAATTTTACCTTAAAAGAAACAGGTAATTATTTTGCCGTGAAAATATTTCAGAATGTAGGAAAAATGAGAGGCTCCCTAAATCAGTTTGTGAATTTTGCATTCCTTTAGAGACAATAACAAAATAAAATGTTGCCACCTTTTGTTCAGAATATTTATGTGTCAGCATACACATGCATAAAAAGGAGACAGGAACACTATGTATCTGGGGAGAAAACTGTGAGCAGAGAGGGATTTTAAAAACTGTTAGTTCAGGGGCTAGCAGGTGGTGTGGTGGTTAAAGGCGCTGGATTTCCACATGGCCAACCACAGTTCGAGTCTGGGACCTGTCACTTGCTTTCTTGCTTTCCCTTTTGCTCTCTCTCTCCCCCTGTCACTCTCTGGTCAAATTAAAAATAATAATAATAATAACAAATGGTTATATAAATAAATAAAAACTTTTTAAAGATTTTTTAAAAGTGCTAGTTTTGTTTGTGATAACTTTAACAAAGAGCAATATTCAGTTTATTTTTAAGTTATCTATTTTAATTTACATAAGCCTGGTTGTTTTATTAAAATGGGCATTTTACTTCATAGCATTTTCCTATATCATTCAAGATAGTTCTTTTATGGATTTTACTTTTCATAATTTGTAGGTAGGAATCAACTTAATCACTTGGAGTGATTCTTCCAAATTGCTTATTTGCTCCTCATTTGAAGAGCATATACATTCACCTTATGAAGACCTCAGGCAAATTTTATGTGGAGACAAAGAAACTGCAACTTATTCTAGCTATGGTATATTTATTATCTTAGCAATAACTGAATTTATCACCTTTGTAAATAGTTAGCAAACCGGACTCAAATGAAATCTAGGTGATTGAATTTTGTTTTTTTAATTTGCAAGAGGGTGTATGTGCTAGCTGGAGAGACAGAGACAGAGACAGTGAGAGGGGAAAGTGAGAAAGTACTCCCATGGAAAATGGTTGCACATTAATCTCTTCTTATTCATTTCCCCTTTTGGGATTTTGAGCAAGTGTGCACACATGCCTGGTGTGCTTCTAAGCCACAAGTCCAGGACTCAAACTATGCAGTTGGCCATATTGGATCCAGCTGTCCTAACCACCATGTCTCTGTCTTGTCGTAAGGGATTTTTTTCTTTTAATGTTCTTGCCATAGGATGCATGTGCCATGGAAGAGAGAGACAGAGGGAAAGTTAGAAATCATCTACCAGGGGGGATGGCTATGCTGCACTCCCTTCTCTTCCACTCTTGGGATTTGAGGCATACATATACCTGGCATGATTTTCATGCTGCCAGGTTCAGGACTTGAACTGTGGTCAGTGATGTGGGAATTCAGTGCCTTAACCACCATGCCATGTGCTGTCTCCAAGTGATTCTGTTTTAAACAATGGTTTAAAAAATATTTTTTATCTGAATTTTTAAAATCTTTGATGTAATTTTTATCTTGTTTCAGTTCCCTCTCAAAGGTATTTTATTATATAATAGAAATAGAGATTCTTTTTGTTAAAGCAGGAGTTTGAACATTACATCCATTTCTTCACATGGTTGTCCTAGAAAAGAGAAATATATAATACATCTGGAGGTCTTTCCAAAATACAACTGAGAAAGCTACCATGATCATTTGAGTGATTCTTCCAAATTCATCAAGAAATGATCCATTCAGTAAAATTGCAATTCAAAATAAAAACACTTGAGAAAGGAACTCTAAGGCCATTGTAGTGTATTACAATCAGATATATTAAAATCACTCTATTTCCTTGCAGATTGGCCGCCTCCAAGATCTGGTTAGGAAAAGCGAACAAGGTCTTGGCTCTGCAGAAGGACTCATTGCTAGTCTTCAGGACTCCCAGGAAAGACTTCAGAATGAGCTTGACTTGACTAAAGGCAGACTCAAGGAGACCAAGGATGCTCTATTAAATGTTGAGGTAATTTCATAATTCTACTATAATCTAAATATCAGCAAAGTGAAAATAGAATTTAGCCACTGTGTTTAAAATTTGTTTAAACATCACATAGTATATAACGAGTAAGTTAGTTCCTAGGGCTAAAGTGTAGAAAAGTACTACAAACTAGGCGACTTAAAACAACAACAATTTGTTCTCTTACTGTCCTGGGAGCTACAAGTTCAAAATCAATGTGTTGACAGGGCTGTGCTCCCTCTTAAAATCCACAATGGATGTTCCTTCTTTGGCATTTCAGCTTTTGGTGGCCCTGGGTATTTCACCATATAATTTCATTCTTTACCTGTCTTCACATGATTCTTTTATAAGGATACCGTCATTCAGGGATCAGTCTGAACATCTGCCTGACCCTCTTTTCAAATAATGTTACATTCTAAGACACCTGAAGGGAGGTTATGTCATGTTGAGAATACAGTGCAACCCATAATAGTAGGTGCATTTCTCCTACTAACAAAAGTTGGATATTTCCCAAGTGCTTTTCTTCTCTGCAAGCTTCAAATTTCAAGCAGGCTCTGCCTTTACCCTTCCAGTCTCATGAAGTACAGCAAAGGTTTAGACTGCCTTAACTAGCACAGAAAAGAATCCATAAAGCAAGGGAATAGAAGCCAAGGAAGTTCTTAACCTTTTTCTTTAGTGAGGGTTTAAGAGTGTAGGCTCTGGAGACCAGTAGATGGCATAATGGTTATGTCACTGGACTCCCATGTAGTTGACCACAGTTTGAGTCCTGGACCTGGCAGCTTAAAACTCAAACCAGGCATGTATGTGTGTTCATGCCCAAGATTCTGAGAGGATAATGAAGGAGAAGGGATTGCAGCATAGCCATCCTCTCGGGGGATGATTTCTTACTCTCTTCCCCCCAGAGGGATGATTTCTCACTTTCCGTCTCTCTGACTCTTATCTCTATGGTGAGCATGCACACCCTATAGCAAAATTCTCTCCTTAAAAACAAAAACAAACAAAAAAAGAGTGTAGGTTATGAAGTCAGGTTGGTTGTATGTGAATTTGGGATATACCACTTAGTGTGTAACTTTGGGCAAAGCCTTTTTCCTTATTTGCACAAGGAGGGGTGAGGAATAATACTCTTCATGCCACTCTTGTAGTAATTCATTGCTTGGCAAAATGGTAGGCACTTGGTAAATGCTATCTCTTTATTCATATTTCAAATATTTTTTAGCTTATAATTGATGACATTTCCAAAGCATGTGAACAAGCACTTATATGGGTATACTTGAATATGGTGCATATATAATTCTATGTATGTTGTAATTAAGGTATAGTGCATTCTGTATTCATTGGATACTAATTACAATGTGCTGTTAAATTCTGTGACAAAACAGATTATTGTGTTTTCTTTGAATCTTCTTTTCCTTCTATTCACCTTCTGTAGTGGCTCTGTTATTTGATGGTGTTAATATGTAATTAGGAGTAGGTTGGAATTTAGAGCAAGTTGTGTTATACACAACTTGATATATTTGATTTATGTGATGTCAAACATTGATTATGATCTCAGTGGTAGCATTCTGTGATGTCAAGGTGAAACATATAACTAAACTATTAGGTCATCAAGAAAGTCATGATATATTTTTGTATGTTTTTCCATGTGAAAATGTGACATGACTTTCCCAACAACCCAATATTTTAAGAAGTTTTTTCCATATTAAAAATTAGATGATATTTTAGGATAGTAAAAATGTACTAAAAATGAACATTTGAAATATTTCTGAATGTTGTTTATATGGTACCATGGGGGCTTCAGCCCTGTCCCCAGTTCCTGACTTTAAGAGTATTTTACCCCAGTCTCCCTCCTACTACCCGCATTTGGCACTGGGAGTTAGGCTTATAGATTTAGTTTCATGTCTTTATGGACTTCTCTCATTTTTACATTGTTGTTCTTTTAATTAGTATAACATAATAAACATTTTAATTAAAATTCTGCCAACCATTTACTTTCTATTCTTCTAGATAGTATTAATTGAGAAAATACAGGTATGTATCATGATTTACCACAACTTGTATGAGTCCTTAAAAGCCAATATTTTTTTACCCCTTTTTTATAACCACATTCCAGTAATTTCTAAAACCATGCTTTGCATTGAGTAAAAGAAACACTTTGAGGGAACCAGCAGTTAGCGTAATGGCTATGTCGCTGGACTCCCATGTAGTCGACCATGGTTCGCATCCTGGACCCGGTGGCTTAAAACTCACACCAGGCGTGTGTGCGTGCGTGCCCAAGATCCCGAGAGGAGAATGGAGGAGAAGGGATTGTGGCGTGACCATCCCCCCTGGGGGGTGATTTCTCTGTGTCTCTGTCTGGCGAGCACACACGCCCTATAGTGAAAATCTCTCCAAAAAAAAAAAAAAAAAAGAAAAGAAACACTTTGAAAATAATTCTACTCCATTTAATGCTACATTTAGTCTTGTCATTGGGGTACAGCTGTAATGCTTGACCTTTGACTAAATGTACTTTTGAATATGAACATAAATGAATTTGAGTAACATATCTGTTTATGTAATGTACTTAAGAAGATAATTGAATAATTTATTATTCAATACCTGTGATATGGAAGATTTAGCTAAGATGATTAATACTGACTTTATTAAACTCACTTGTTATATTATAAGCCTTAATGAAATAAAGTTTGATCAAAGATGGCTAAAATATAAAATGCATGGTGATATTTAAATGTCAGAAAATCTTGAGTAATTGTTATAAATAGCATTATCAATTATTGCACTCTGAAAGATTAAAAGTTGTAATACAAGCACTGTATCTTACTTGAAATAACCAGAAGTAGTTCTGTTTTTGAAGATGAATCGTCACAGAAAAGTTTTTATCCTTCAGGGTGAGCTAGAGCAAGAGAGGCAACAGCATGAGGAAACACTTGCTGCCATGAAAGAAGAAGAGAAACTCAGAGTGGACAAAATGGCTCATGACTTAGAAATAAAGTGGACTGAAAATCTTAGGTACACTGTTTGCTCTGTAATGTAACCTTGTCAGTACAAACGCACAAGAAAGGTTTTCTGTTCTGTGACTCATATTGTCATATCGTTAAAGACATAGTAGCAGTGTTTTAAAAGAATTTTTTTCTCTGATTAGATGCAGAGATATTAGAATTCTTTTCTTCTGTTTTAATTCTGATTTTTTTTCTGGTTTCATTTCATTGTACATAAAATAGAGAACTAGACCAGCTGATGTCATGGTGGTTAATGTGGCTGGATCTCACATGGCCCACATTAGGGTTTGAGTCTTAAACCTGGTGCTCAGAAAACATGCTGGGTGCATGTGCATGCATGCCCAAAATCCCAAGAGGAGAATGGAGAAGGGACTGCAGCGTGGCCATCCTTACTGGGGGGGTGAGGGGGGTTGCTTTCTCACTTTCCTTCTCTCGCATTCTCCCTCTCTCTCTTCCTCTCTGATTTCTCTCCAGCAAGCACACATACCTTTTAGTAAATTTAAAGAGCAAAAAACTAACCTGAAGTCAGAAGACTTAGTTGTTCTAGTAGCTATTCTGCCAATAATAAATTGATAAATCTGTAACTTTGGGTAAGTTGTCAATTTACCTTATAGTCCTTAACTATTAATATCTGTTCCTGCTCTGAGTCGTAGAGTTTTGAGGAGAATTAATTAAGCACTTAGAAAACCTGTGAATGACTTTACTACAGTTACTGAGATGAAAAATTCTCCTTACAAAGTGAATATGTTTGATATATTTTAGACAAGAATGTTCCAAACTTCGTGAAGAGTTAAGGCTTCAACATGAAGAGGATAAGAAGTCGGCAATGTCTCAACTTTTGCAATTAAAAGAGCGGGAGAAAAATGCAGCCAGGGATTCATGGCAGAAGAAAGTGGAAGATCTCTTAAACCAGGTAATTAATAGTCTGTACATTATGAAGCTTCATTTTCCTGATCATTCTCTAACTTGGGAAATATCGTAGAACACTGTTAATTGATTGTATTTTGTTATTTCTCAGAGGACAGACTTAATATTTTTAAAATGTATAGAATCAAGGAGACACATTATATGTGCAATCCTAAATACTGGGAAAAATGTATTATTTTTAATTTAATATTTGAACTGAATGCTTTAGAGATTTTAAATATGGAAGTATATATTTTCTGAGACTATAAAATCATTTTTCAAACTCAGATATCATTTGGGCAGCAGAAGGTAAAATTTATGAAATGTATCCTATTACCTAAATTTCACTTCCCAAAAGTGGGCAGTTTACTTCTTTCTCATTAGGGGGATATTACTTGTTATGCTTCATAATGCTTTAAACAGCTTAAAGAGAGTATTTCACAAATAAAAGGTGGTTGTATTCCTAAATATATCTTATGTCATGCATGTTTAAATCCAGAGCATTTATAACCACAGTTGAAAGAATTTGCACATTTTCACAACTTCTAAATCTATGAATTCTTAGTGTTTTCCTGTAAAGCCAGTAATTAAATTGGACTTCCTACATGAATCACCAGTAGATTAGCAAGTACAGAACTTGGACAAGAAGCAGCTCAGTAATTTAGTGCTAGAAATCCAGTATTATCTTTCTATTTGTGATCATGATGAATTTCAAAATAAATAGGATAAACTTATTATAATTTGTTACATAGGTACATACATGCAGTTTCTTTCAAGAATACTTGCCAATTTCTGTCTGGTTTTTCATAATCATCTATAATATTACTCTAGAAGGGAGGAACACATACACACATGTCTGTGTGTGCAAATATAGCTGTTGTCAATCATCTGAAACCTTTGAATCTTAGAAGAAAATAAAAAAGAAACAACTCTTACTACAAATTGGACACTGTTAGCATTGCTTATTAATTACCTCTGAGTACTTGTTTTACTTCCTACTGACCCGGAAGGACAGATTTGTTCTCTAGTCCTTTATCATGCCAATTCTTTGTCATGTTCTGTATCTAAAAAGATTAAGTTAGGTATAATAGAAAAGGGAAAGTTCCCTAAAATTCTGCCTTGCTTTTCTTTTTTAAAAAGAATTATTTAACTTCAATTACTACTATTATTTTTTAATTTGACCAGAGAGAAACAAAGAGAAAGAGGGAAAGTGAGAAAGCAAGCCACCAGGTCTGGAACTTGAACACAGTCAGCCCTGTAGGAGTCCAGCACCTTTAACTACCATGCCACCTGCGGGCCCTCACTGCTTTTCAATGAGAAAGTTTTCAATGTAGACATTTTTTGGCTGGATTTGCATTGTAAACCCATTTTTCTACCTTTCTGTTTTCTATTGAAGTATGTCATTTGTCATTCTTTTCATCTCTCTTGTATTATGTTGTCAGATTTCTTCCATGCTTGTCTCACTTTTCTTTTATTTAGATGTCTGTTTTGCAGTGTTCATTCCTACAAGAGCTAATGCTTTGGATTTTGTGGTTCTGTGTGTCATAGATTAATTTATTACACATAAGCTCCAGTTGTTACCAGCTTCATAGAGAGAATTTTTTTATCAATTTTCAAAGATTAACCATAAATATCAAGATAATCATGATTAACTGACTCCAAATAAGATTATCCTGTGATGATTTATGCCATCAGGCCATTTACAAGATAACAATATCTTCTTTTCTCCCCACTTCTAAAATGTTACACATTTGTACATAACATACATATGTCTATAATGTATGTGGCATACACATTAACACACATAAACTGGCAAATAGCTGTTACACTTCAGAATCATTTGTGCTTGAGGAACTTTAAGAAAACAAGTGAATAAAAGACTACCCTATTAGGGCCTGCCAGTAGCATGGTGGTTAAGGCAGCTTGATCCCACATGATTGTCTGCATGGTTCAAGTCCCAGACTGACAGCTTGAAAAACATGCTGGAAACATGTGTACATGTGATATTGTGTCCAAAATCCTAAGAGGGGAAATGAAGGAGAAGGGATTGTGGTATGGCCATAGTCATCACCCTGGGCAGTGAGGGGGTGCTTTCTCACTTTCTCTCTTTCCTCTCTCACTTTCACCTTCACTCCCTCCCTAGTGAGTGCACATGCACATGTTTTTCCCCTATAGCAAACTGGGGAAAAAAAATGTAAAATAATACCCTATTATAGTGAAAATGGATACTACATCATCAAGACTGTATTCTTCCAAGACAGGAGATGACAAAAAATTATAGTGGGACCAGTAACCTTTCTAATAAGATTTATTATGAACCCCCCCCTTTTTCTTGCCCTTTGGATCTTGTTCTCATGATTCTTTTAGGTGGGTTCCTAGAGCCTGGACCGTGAAGCCTACCAGACCACTTTCCACTTGTCTGACTCTGCTGCTAAGCCCTGTCCTCAGAAGCTTCACCCTGAGCCTACAGCCTGCATGCGTCTCACTGTACTCACTGCCATAGATCTTACCCATCCCTTTAGCCTTAGCACTGCCAGCACCCCTTAGCACTTGGCAGAAACAACCTGGCTCGGGGTTTGTGAGATTGACAGAGTAAGACTGTGGAATAGAATTGGAATGGCCAGAGCTTAGGCAGAAGCATCTAGTCTGAAAAAGTATCAGAAGATCTGCATTTTCAATATTTTAGCTATTTCTGAGTCAAGTAAATATGAGACTGTGCATTCTTGTATTTCATCTTTCTTAAAGAAAATATTAAATAACTTGTCTTTCAGATAAATTTAAACTCTTGTGACTTAAATTGGTTTAGACCAACTTTTATGGTCTATCTACCTAAAATTAAGCATGGAAAAGCAAAATGTTTGCACTTTCTTTGAATTGTATGTTTTTGTTTTTGTTTTTTTTTTTGAGAGGTTTTCGCTATAGGGCGTGTGCGCTCGCCAGACAGACAGAGAGAGACATAGAGACAGAAAGCGAGAAATCACCCCCCAGGGGGGATGGTCACGCCGCAATCCCTTCTCCTCCATTCTCCTCTCAGGATCTTGGGCACGCACGTTTAAGCCACCGGGTCCGGGACACGAACCGCGGTCGACTACGTGGGAATCCAGCGACATAGCCATTACGCTAACTGCTGGTTCCCTGAATTGTATGTTTTTCACTTCATAGAATTTTTCAAAAGCTATTACTTCCACTTTGTGCCCCAGGGCAGAGTCAATTTTGTATCTTTTAGTTTCTTTCAGTATTCCATTGGGTTTTCTTTTTCTGTTCAGTAATTATAGGTCAGTTCAAGTCTAATAGTGATTTCTGGGCTAATCAATGTGTACATTTGAATTCATTCTTTCAGAGCAAAAGAACTATGTTCTTATTCTTCAACTTTATCTAAAGAAAGGTGATTATAGGGTTGACTCCTGAGAACATGGTTAAGTGCTGTGAATAGAAAGCTAGTTCTCACGTGGCTGACCATGCTCTAAGTCATAGCCCCAGAGGCTTGAAAAAACATGCTGCATGCCTGCGTGGCCAAAATCCTGATGGGATTGAGAAATGGAGGGAAAAGGATTCAGACTGACCATGTCCCATTGAGGGTTTCTTGTTCTCTATGGTGAGCACATATGCTCATTAGCAATTAAAAAGAACAGCAAACAAACAAAAGAAACCAAAACACCCACAAAAACAGAATCCTATAGAATTCTTTGTTCTTATTCTCTCTTTGTGATCCTAAAATGCCATCATGTGTTTATTTCTCCTTTTTAAAGGCCAGTTTTATTTTGCACCCATTATGATTTATTTATTCAGGCTCATTCAGAGCATTGGCCTGAGAAATCTGGAAGACACAGATCATAAAACTGTGGAAATTTATAGTTTAGATCTGACTGTCCATTTTGTAGAGGTGAACTTTGAGGCTTCAATGCCATTTAGTTGGTCATACCCATATATATAACAATTTTTACATTTCACACATTTACAGTTTCATAGGATTTCTGTACAGATACGTCAGTAAAAGTTACTATGCAATAAGTGACTTTATTAGTGGCCCGGTTTGTACTATATATAGGAGCAGTGGTGTGCTGCAGCTCATCACAGCCAACTGTGCATCTCTGTCCAATTCCACATTCAGGGGCTTCATTTTGGTGGCTTATAATTATCTGAGATGGTTGTAGTTACACCACAGATGTCAGCCAATGCTATAAATCATGGTTTATTTTCAGAGAGCCGTTAAATATTTACCAACATGCCACTGGAGTAAAACAGAAACAGTAATACACAATGTGATTGAGAAAGATTTCATTGAGATGGACAGCTTTCCTGTGACTCTCAAGTAGGACAAAAGAGGAACATAGACGAGTAATGAAAATATAAATGTTTTTGAAAATATAAATGTTTTTATTCATTCAAAAGAGATTTTATTAAACATGCACGTTTATTTCCTGGGCACTGGGAGGATGACAGTAATGAGAAAAACCAGTTTGTTGGGAATTGGTTTGAAAAGTAATTGTGGAAAACACTAACATCCAAACTTAGAAGCTTAAAATTCACTCAGTAAACCTCGAGATTCTTTTATAGAACAGAAAAAAATATACTTAAAATTTTATTTTAGGAAGATTACTATGGCCATGATGCTGAAATGAGAATGAAATGGAGACATCTCAACTTCATTATATCTTTTCTGAGAGATTGTTGCTACAGGGCATATGTACTTGCTGGAGAGACAGAGAGAGACAGAGAGACAGAAGGCAATAAATCACACACCCCCTAGGGCAGACGGCCATACCTCAATCCCTTCTCCTTTATTCTCTTCATACCAAGTGCGAGTTCAAGCCGCAAGGTCTAGGAGCCAGGTCTAGGACTTAAATGGTGATCAGCTACCTGGGAATCAAGCACCTCAACCACTATGTTTACCTCTTGGCCCCTCAATTTCAATATTTAAATTAAAGGATCTGAAAAAACTCTTGAATATTCACCATGTACTTCTCCACTGTCCCTCAGCCTAAGCCAGCCTGATTCCACTAGACC